TTTAATCTTTTTCTACAAAACATTATTTTAAAAATTTCCAAAAAAAGACCATGGGAGGGAATTTGACCCCCACATCCCCTCTCTTATATACGCCCTCGATAGGTATAGTATATTATTATGTTTCTCACTTTCGTGTGTTTAATTAGACTATATTTATATAAATCTAATAATGACCGCTATACATTGACAAATAATAATAATAATTATTATTATTATAATAACAAATGACAAACATTTTAAACAACGAACCGACAATATTAACCATAGTAAAAAAAAAATAATATACAATATAATAATAACATCAATAGGTATTGTAAAACGAATTAAAAACGCACTTATTACTGCCGTTTCGTATACATAACGATAATCTAATATTATATTAACATATTATAATACATATAGGTATATTTTTCTTTATTATATTGTCAGGATGTTGTAGATATTATTTTATATTATAAAATAATTTGTGTAGACAAATGTTGAACAATACCTTATAACATATTATTGTTATTATTATTATACAATATTATATAATATAATAAAAAAATAAATTCAAATGGAACAACATAATATAATATGTACATACTTATAATAATTAATAATTTTCATCGGTAGAAATTAACACAGGTATATTATTGTTATTGTTGTTACCGAATCGCGTTTAAACTATTTAAAATAGGTATTAGGTACGGTCAATATAATAAATAATAATGTATATTATAGTTAGGTAGGTATTGTAATATTACCATAGATATTGGTACAATTTAACGATTATAATATTATAAGAGGTTAAATTAATGTAACATATTAAATATACTATACTATATTATACAAATTAAAATATTGTCGGTACAAATGCGCAGTATAGTACTATAGTGGTCGTTATAATATTACAACGTGTCCTCCAACGAGCCACCCAATGAGACTACGACCACAACTTCTATTTTTCATCAATCAGTGGAAGCAATAATACTTCATTTCGCGTTTCCACGTTACCGTGGTTAGAACCGTTGACCAAATATTATACAATATATATTATAATGAAATATATTGGTACATATTTAAAGAGCGACTGTAATAAATTATACATAATAACAAAAATCGTTTGAGCGCTTATTTTTTTCTTTCAAACCATCATTAGGTATTAATATGCATTATAATTAGAATACACGAGTTGGTTATAGGTACTATATCAGGCACAAAATATTTAGTAAGTATAACATAAATATTCTACTTAAAACGAAAAAAAATTATTTTTCTTAATGGAAGACAATATTATGTTTTATTCGTATACTTGTGTTTTATATACAAATACAAATACAAATATATTATTATACTCATGCAGCAGCTATATTATAATATTGTAATATGTCGAAATATAATAATACTCTTAGACTCAAACATGTTTTCGCTTAACCAATAATCTGCAATATGGTAGTACTTATGTCTTATAAAAGTATACCCTAACGGCTAACGGCAGTAAACCGCTTGACATCCAGCGCGATACCCCTAACGGCCCCAACACACTATCCCTCTTATTATTATTATTTTTTGAATAAATACATCATGAACCCTTGTTAATTTTTAAAAATAATTATTCTGGGCGCGAAGCTTATAAAAATCGGAATAAAAAAACGGTGTGTGGAGACTCTAGTGGAGAGATTTGATTGAATTATTATTATAATATCATTTATTGTATAGCCATATTCAGTTATGTCCACTGGTAGCTATTTGTGTTCCTATGCATAATTTACATAATTATCTGCATAGTATATTAATTATAGTACAAGTAGATAGACAAATTGAGAGAGAATAGGTTGAGATGGTTCGGTCATGTTAAAAAAGAGAGAGATGACTCAAAGGTAGTGGATAAACATAATAAAGAATAACACAGACATTTTGAGTGGGATTTAAGGAGGAATAGGTGATAAACTTCTATGGCCTACCCCATATAGTTGTGACAGAAGGATGAAGAAATTACAGAATAGCGGTTAGCGATGTACTTATATATTATACTCGTAATAATATGCATATTTCGTAAATTTTTAACGTGTAATTGTTGAGCGACGGACGATTCAATGTGATTATTGTAGGTATATAATACTATATAGTTATATTAATAGGTGCAGTATACTCAGGTTTTCGAAAACAACACGTTGTTCCGTGAGTTATTTAATCGACCTCGTCTTTGGGCGGGTCGAATTATATAATAATTGTTACACCTAAATATAGTAATATAGTATGTCACATCCGAAGAATTGACGACGTTCCTATAATCAAACTCGGCGTTTTTATGAAATAACGAAATAATAATCATATAATGCGTTGTAATTAATGTGCCTATAAATTATAATACATACATCTTAATAGCATCCAGCAAACTGTTTTAATGTAATATCACAATATCATGAACTTAAAATTAAGTTAGAATTCAATTACATCTACTCGCAGTGTACCTATAGTAGTATGTATAATATTATGACGTATAAGCATATACATATATTATTATATTGTATAACGTATATTATATTATATATGTTTTGTATGTGAGTAGTTTGTAGGCATTATATGGGTACCCTGGGCAGCAGGTATACTGTCTGTTCACTTTGGAGCGTATGGGCTCAAATTTGGTCAAAGCGTTTTTTTGTGAGTGAAATTTGACTTATTGATCATTTGCAACTATGATATTGAAGTTTGAATAAGAACTTATTATATTTAAAAGTCAACGAGCTTTTCGGACAACACATACAATTAATGTACATTGTGAAAATCACATTTCTGCAATATTTTATTTTTAAAATAAAACGTTAATGATAATACCGATTTTATATATGAATAACATCCCTATTTTTCGAAGGCTATCTGTAATTTTATATCAATACAAATGTTATGTTTCTGTTTTTTTGGTTTATTAAAATAGTTAATATTGAATGTATATTCCTGTAATAGCTTTATTGAAAAATTGTTCATAAGTCGAGATATTTTTTAATATGCATGTAAGCCCAAGTTCAACACTGATAAATACCAACGAAAATAATAAAAAAACAAATAGGTATGTAGGTAATAGAAATAATAATATGTACATATCTCATCACAAGCGCTCCTCGTGTGAATATTATAAATACTTATGCACGTGCCATGAAAATGACAAATTAGTTTTTTATTTTTATAAACTCGTTTGGATACTTGGGATTGAAAAAAAATTAGTATATTATAAGTATCTTTCACTCATATGTACCTATATTATAATTTATTTCATGTAAATTAATTAAACACAGCTGGGGTGCATCGAGTTATTTTTTTCAGCGAATTATTTAATATAATAATTTATATTTTTTTAAACGCATTACGATGGTAGTTCTTTCTATAGTTACTAGAATTTACCGTATTTTTTCCAACTAAAGCATAATCCATTATTTTATTTGCTCCTTATACGAAAGTATTATTACAATGAAAAGGCAGGGATATTATTTGTAACTAAAATGAAATTAATATCTATATGTTTGGTCATTAGCTCGTGTAAAATTTAAGTTATATTTAATTGGTCGTGATTGTACTATCGGCTAAACCTATACGGATAAAATTTCTTCGAGAAGAGTTCACGCGTTTTAAGGAAGGTCGAAGTCATCGGAAGCATCATTCGTGGAAAGAGTAGTGGCCGAAGATTAACGGGCATATAGACAGTTTGAAGCGAATCGACTCAAAATGTGATCTGTATGGGCGAATAAGTTATATACCGATTGGAAGAGTGTTTATTTCACAAAAAATACCACTTGGGCGAATAAGTGTGAATAGGTTTATTATAGGTAAATTAATTTATATATTGAAATATTGTATAGTAATGTATATTGACAGTTGAAAAATAAAGTCACAAACAAAATACATAATAAATAATTAATAATGAAATCTTAACCTGAAACAGATATTGGTATAGTAAAATTGTAATATACAATCAACATTAGTAAAAATTTTGCAATTAATAAAACAGAATCATATACGACAAAAAAAATTAAATATAATTAATAATGAACCCTATTTTTAAAAACGTTTGCATCAAAGTCACCAGGTTTTTATCTTACGCAGGTAAAATAATTTCACTCGCCCAAACGCTATAAATGATAGTCACCCAAACAGACTATTAATTTTTTGGTAAAAATTATTGCCTTCGCCCAAACGATCACAGTTTAGATTAACAGTGTGTGAAAGCCGGACGGCCTTTTATTAGAACATTTAAAAATATTTGCGTGACATGATTCATCGCAAAACGTCCTGAAATATTGCCAACATGTGGACATTAAGTGTAGCGTGTAATTAATACATTTAGTTTAAAATATATTATTTATATAGTAAGTTGTTCAAATGTTCAGCTTTCCCAGCTAGCCATGTACATTTATAATAATATGATGGCCATAATACACGAATCTAGTTGGTCCTGAGTATTCTATAGGTACGACATATTACAATATAATACAACACAAGTATAATAATGATCAAGCTCGGATTAAGTCTTACAGAGGCCCTGTAGATGCCCTGTAGAGGCCGATAGTCTGCTATGGTTCTAACTGGATGAAAATATATCTAAAAATACTGTCCTATCACAAACAATGAGATTTAAAAATCGGAGTTCCTTCGCATAACTTTATAATTATCAAATATTACTATCACTTAATCCGGCTTGATAACGATATTAAATATTATAATATATATTTGCGCTGCAGTAATGGCGCTTGTTGACTGTATTTCTGTATGTACATTGTATACTAGCCTTAAGTAAGTGTGTGTGTGTGTGTGTGTGTGGAGATATATAATAATATTATATATAATGGAAGGGTTTTTATTTTGGAAAACGTCGTTAGTTTAAAACAGTTCGCGGGTGAAAAATAAAAAAATATTGTTTAAAATAATTAATCAATTATTGTCTTAGATCAGGAATAGTTGAGTGTCGAGGACACCAACCGGACAAGCGTCGTACAACAGTTGTATCCTCATTAGCGGAGTCGTCACCATCGAGATACGACCGGTGACCGGAACAGCGTAACTACGACAACGGCGGCCAGCACTAGCAACCAACGTGCCGGACATTCTGAACCGGAACCTTTGCCGGATCCGTGCCTTTGTTTGTTGTCATGATGCCGGACGCCGCCACCTCCACTACCTCCATTACCACTTCCACCTCCATGAGCAGTCTGTGGAGGTTTTTTTGTGGATTCTGATGGATGCTTCTGTTGTTCCTGTTGTCGTTGTTGGTCATCCAACGATTGATTGTCACCGTCGGCTGTCGGTTCACCCTCCACTGGCACCAAATTTTCCTCGTCTGCACCACCTGACTCGTCGTCATCGTCTTCTTCTGGTTCCGGCGGTGGTGCTTCCGAAGTGGTTGGAGCGCTTGGCAAATGCAGTTCTGAAAAAAAAACATAACGGCGTTAGATGATGTAGGTTACATAATACATATTATCACCCACGGTATAGTTAAAAGGTATTTAAAACATTCAGCTTAAATTATTATTAAAATCTTAATTTATTACAAATTTATAGTATTAATAAAATAAAAATATTGGTTTAGTTTTATAACATAATATTATTATAAATTATAATAGTACCTACGTGTTATTGTTTTTAATTAAATATACCTACATGGTCTTAAATATTTTTAGGTCAAATCAGTTTTTGATATTTCCTAGATTTTCATTGTTTTAAACCCTATAATTAACCTTAATTATTAACTATTATAAAATATAAATTTATAATAATTATAATAGAAATAGAAAATTTGGGTAAAACTAGTGGGAAAAATGGCAAGTCTTGCTATCAACTAACTGCTTGAAATTTGGTGTGTGATTCGGCATGCTATATTCGTGCACAGTATATTTTATATGCATGTTCTCAATTTTTGATTTACGAAGTTCACTACTTACTGGAAATTTTTCGGAAAATGATTTATGTAAGGTTTCATAATGACGTTTAATATTGAAAACTTTAAAATCAGTTACTGTCTGGCGGAAAATCAAATAAACTGGAAAGGCTCCCGAGCTTACATATTATATATTTTATTATCAGTTTTTACTTTTTTTTCTTGTTTGCAGGCCGTACCCGGCACACCGCCACACCGGTAGCTATTTGGTTATCGCTGCAGTAGCATACTATACGATAGACTCTGCAGTTATCACACTTAACATTAAATCAAACTTTGTTGCATAAACGTATACTGCAATTAGAGGATAATATTTTACAGAGATAACTGCTGTCTTGCGAGTATAGGAAACGAGACGGTGACTCCATATATTGCATAATGTATTTATGACTTTGAAAACTTAGTAAGACAAAAGAGAAACGTAAAAACAAAATAAAGTTGTTAACAGAGCACACCAGACACCAGTATCATTTTTTTCTACATCTTATGATGAGGCACGTAATATACTTACCTCTCATTCATTGATAATTGTGATTACATTGTTTACATTAAGCTATTTTAAGTGATAACCTTATATTATTAGACAAGCAATGCTTGTATGGAAAGCGTAACAACATAGAGGGTGGTTTCTGATTACCTACTCGATTACTCAATATTATAGTATTGCGGGGTAGTAGGGTAATACATTTAGATATATAGATTATTGTATTTTGTCGTCAAGACAGGGTACATCACTTCAAATTCAACATCTAGGCCGCTCGTAATGCTGTAAGTTGTTATACACAGTTCTTGAGAAAGTTGTGAACAATTTTTAAGAAAGTTAATATAATAAGAATGATAATTTATTATAAATAACCAAAAAATTAAATTGGTTCTAATAACTTCCCAAGTGCCCTCTTAAAGTCTTAAAATCAAGTGTCAATACCGTTAATGAATGTCACATAAATGATAAATATCTTTCTGAATGAAATAACTATTGATTGTTCATACCTAAATGGCTAAATGGATAAACGTTGATCGAAAAACATCGATTTAAAAATATTAAATTTTAATTTAAAATTCATCCTCAATAACTCCATTTTATTTGTATTTTTTTTTAAATTGAATGCTATTTAATATTAAAGTTGGAGAGCCTTAGAACAACAGCCAATCACTATAATATATTATTGAAAACTACTTTTTACTTTGATATTTTTAAATAGGTAGATATAAATAAAACCTATAAGGAACTTTATACATTCAATTTTCAAGCTTTCTGACCAAGCAAATTTTTTTTTACCGATATTTACAGAAAAAAAAACTAAAAATATCATAAATGTTTATAAATAGTTCAAAAAGAGTCAAAGAATTTTGAAAATTATACTAAATTTATAAAAAATGATATTATACACATTTTATAAAAAATTGAAGTATACCTATCTACGGGCTTTTTTTCAATTACAACAAAATAACAAAACCAATTTTGTAGACATTTTTGTTTTGTTTTTCCCAATTATCAAGAAAAGTATTGAGAATTTTTATTTTTTACCCCCTAAAAGTACACATTCACCTTCCTGCCAGAACTGATATTAAAGTTGAAAATGTATGCATTTTTTCTACTATATATCGTGTAGGTATACATTATAGGTAAATAATAGAAAAAACGCACATTGCTAAATGTTAAATCAATACATTTATTGCTCCACTTAGAATGAAATAGTCGTAACTTGTAATTCAATAAAAATATTACCTAAAAAGTATTACCTATGGTTAAATTATGATTTGGCAATTATCTTCATAGTTCATATAGGGCTTTATTATTATAATTGTAAAATACATACTAATTATATAGTATTAATGATTTAATATCATATTTTACCATTGTGTTATGTATATTTTAAAAGTAACATAATGTATTAATATCGTATTTTCTTAATAGGTACATGGTTTGATTTCCGTTAAATGTTATCTACCTACCATTCGTTATCATATTGTAAAAAATATTTAATATATTTTTTATTATTAATATATTGTTATACATGATCGGATCATGTTGTTTATTCATTTTTACTTTTCGTCAATATTTTTAGAGATGAATAATAATATGATATGTAATTGAATAAGTACACGAAGAACGAAAAAATTCGTATAAACGCTTTAAAATTTAAGTGGGTATTATAATAGGTATTGCTGTTTGGTTTCAATGATTTTATTTGGTTAGAGAACACATTACTTATATGCTATACGATAAGATACGTGATATGGTAGAAAGTACAAGTTTGACTTTTGAACACACCTTGAAGTCTTATGGATCCTTCGGCTTTACCCAAAGCGTTTTTGGCTATACACAGATAGCCACCAAAGTCCTTGGGTTCAAGACTCGTTATGGTTAGGTCCATTTGCAATGAATATTCGTTTATGGGAGTCTCCGACATTTTATACTTGGTGTTGGGCATGAGATCGCCTCCTGGTGAAAAAATTAAATACAGTCAATAATGAAAATGATTAGGTAACTTTTCAATAAAAATATATAGGTAGGACAGGTAGGTATATTAATTATTAAGACATAATATGACAAAAATAAAAACTTTTTTAGTTTTTTTAATTATCATTGGAAATGATTTTATCCCTTTTAATAATTATGAAATTTGTATTTGTTGTTAATATTGGATTACAAAACAATAAATAATATATAAAAATTCAAATAATGTATTCATCCAGAACAAAGAATTAAATATATTTTAGATGGAAAAATCCACTGTTTAGCAAATTTTGAATAGTGATAGGTATAGTTAAATAAATCATAATTTATTCTAATTATTACGATGATAATCTATTCAAACTATTTAAATTTAAAAAAATATATAATAATAGTTAGTACAATTTATTTTTGTAGCTAGTTGAACAATTTTCTTGGTTAAATCCCACACAGTTTGACACTGAATATTTTCTATGCATATAATAATATATCATATAGACATATAGTTCAATGAATAAACTGTACGTACCTATATAGTCACTATACTTCCCTCCTATTTGAAATAACGATAATTTCAGAAATTAAACTTTGCGTTTAACAAAATTACGTTTCTCTCAAAGTTTTACATTATGTATTTTATGTTTCTATTTAATGAGCAGGCTATAAAAGGAACGAATATGGTCGTGGGATATAATGTGGAGGAGTGGTTGGAATTTATTACGGTATGAGACTTTTGAGAGAGAAAGGAGTTGAAATTATTTGGAGTAGGTACACGTAATATAGGAGAGCAGAAGATGAGTAATGGCTTTGAAGTCACTATGAACTGTGATGTAGAGAGCAGGCTATGTTAGATATAACACTTGTATTTTAAATTTTAATATTATTATAGGTCAAAATTTCGAGAAAATATTTTCACAACGGTTTATTTTTAAAACTTTTCTTCTGATAATTTTTCATTGCAAAAGGTAGTAGAAAATGCGATACGCGTAGTTAAGCCAATGTAGTCTGTTATTATAGTGATCGTTTTAAGCGATAACATTAAGGACAAGGATTCTCTATAATTCCTATGGTATAACATGATAATATTATATTCATCTAGTGAACTAGTTTATAACCAACAATAATAAATAAATATAAAAACATTGTTTTTGATCATAATTTATTCAGTGTGTGCTTTAAAAGGTTTTTGAATATTTTAATCATATTTAAAATATAAGATAAAAAAAGTTTTTCATAACGTCACATCAAGTACAAATAAATGAAACCAAAAAAATTATATTATTGTAATCATCTATAAATTTGGTTCTTAGAAGATAAATTGAATTATTAATTAATAAAAGATGAATATTTAAAACAGTAGCATTGTTTTATTTCTATTAAAAGCCAATAATTTTTCTACTTGATATGTAGTTCCAATACAGTACATACCTATTTTTGATGTATAAATCTATAACCTAACTTTTTAGTCAGTTAATTACAAATAAGAATAAAAACTTGATTGAGAAAAAATAAAGTAATTGACTATATAATTAGTAATTAAACATAATAGTTATAATTATTGGCTAAGTGATTAAAGTTGATGAACAGAGTCTGTTCAATGACTATCTGACAATGCCTGTAGGATAAAAAAAATATCTATTAATAACTCAACTATACAATTGAATTGAAACTAAACATTGTATGGCATAAATTATATAACTAAGTAAAATTTAACATTTATAAAAACAAAATTAATATTTTGGAGTAAAAAAGCTATAAATAATACTATAAATTAATTTAAGTTTAATTTATTATTTTGTTAATTTCTAGCCTTGTCAATGTGAGGTCAGTGAGACGGAGAAAAACCAAACACATAAATTAAACCATTCACTCAATTCACTCGATTGTGGCAGAGGCTTAATCCATGATATTGAATTCATATCTCTACTTTTCTCTGTTTTTACAACAAACGAATAAATGTTGCTGCAATTCTTATATATTGTTAAAGGTTCACTCACTAGGTAATTTCTCACTCCATACATAGTTCTATATTTTACTTGCACTTTAATCAGGCCCCATCGGCATTATACGTCATAAGAGTTAGCAGATACCGGATTCGAGGTTATGCACTTTTGAAGAGCGTAGGTATTGAAGCGTATTTTTATTATTGAATAAATTAATGAATAAGATAATATTATATAAGATATACCTACCTATATATTATAATATTGTATTATAATGCTTATATATTGATATAATGTTTTTTTAAATATGACCTACGCGTTCAAATATTTTTGAATTTAATTGTCACAATATTTAACACATAATAGGTTTCGGTTTAGGTCAAAATGTTAAAATGGGTTCGCTCGCTCACTGGCACCCATGGAAAAAAATCCAAAATAACGACTTTGATAATATGCAAAAGTCAATAGCTCAAGCTTTAGTGGTTACGGTTTCTATTAAGATTCCACGATCGCATTATTGAATACAAGTTATTTTGAATAGAATTCTAGTGATGAGAGTATCTGTCAGTATCAGATTCTCTCCATTATTGAGTGCATTTTTTTTTATGTGCCTCGAATGTCTATTAAATTAAAAATGTTATTTATTTTACAGAATATATTCTACTCGTGATCCTTCGGTGACATTTGTTGGGGAGCGGATGTAAAATAAAGCAAGAAATACAAATTCCAGTGATTGATATTTCCGTGCTAGGTATATTATGCGAAAATGAGGAAGAGCTATTTTTAAATATTTTTTTGTTTTTGTTGTAATGCAAAAATTATTTACTGTTTAAATTATGATTCACAGTAGTGAATACAATACGTAACTATCCATAACAACTCTCTTAATGGATTTAATAAAATCGACGACGATTAATATATCAAAGTTTTAACATTCTACTACAGAAAAATGTTAACAATTCTACTTAATTTCTAGTGTAATTCAGTGATGGATAAACAGAGAGAGGACGAGAGAGAGAGAGAGAGAGAGGGAAAGAAATTGATAGAGGTATGCCAAAAATTAATATTTTTAAATTGAATAAAATTGTTACTTTATAATGTATAGACTATATAGTATTGGTAGTATCACTCGATTAAAAACGAAAATATTATTTTAAAACTAACATTTTGCAAATACAGTCGATTCCGCTTAATAGAGACACCGGTTAATAAGGACAACCGCTTAATAGGGACAATTCTTCAATTACAAAAACAAATGTATACTTGTAGGGTAAACATTCACCGCTTATTTGGGCCACGAATCCGGATAATTGGGACATTTTTATCGAGTATATTAATAGATCAATAGTTCAACAATCGTGACGGACTCTCGTAATCGATTATTACATTACATTTTATTTTATTTAACTTTATTTTATCTTATCTTTTATCGTATGTTCAAATGTGATAGTTGTTAAATGTTATTTGGTGCAATGGTGCATCAGTCGTGTTTGTCGCGTGTAGCAACAATGGCTCGTGTACGTAAAGATTTATCGTTTGCTCAAAAATTAGGAATTCTGGACAAAATTAAATTACAGCTACCAGGCTGTAATACACGTCGTCTTTCGGAAATTTTAGGAGTACCGAAATCAACAGTTTTTTTAAATAAGATAAAATACATAATAAAAAAATAAAAAATATTTATATGTACCTACTTTATATGTAAGTATTTTTATAAATAATTAGGTTATATCATGTTTTTCTTTTTGTACTATCAAATAATTTCTATAATACATTGTTTGTAATTTGTAATAATAAAAATATATAAAACAAATCAGTTTTTCAACAAATTTATATGTTGGTTTTTGTATTTCGGATTATTGGGACAACCGCTTTATTGGGACAAAATAACAGCCAACCGATGTGTCCCAATAAAGCGGAATCGACTGTATATATGGTGTGTATAAATGTTCGATTAATACTGTATAGGAAATCGTGTTGATAATAGTTCCAAGCAATTATATTTTGCCATTTTCCTTAAACTTTCTTCGAATACTAATATCAATGTCAAAGGAAAATCGTTTTATGCCAAAATACTGCGAGTAACTAAACTGCAGCAGTTATAAATTTATATATATTACGGAGAAAACGATCGAAAACGGTACTATTATAAAGGGTGAGCTAAGGGAAGGGTGTGCCTGGCGCGTTAGGGGTGGACGTGGAGTGAACCGTAAACGAGCGAATGCATATAAGGTGTGGGTTTTGCGTAAAAATTTTCCATGTCGTTATCGTATTCGGAAAGGTCTTGGTTGGGCGAAGGGAAAGGTAGCATGAGGCGCCGGAAGAGAGGACGACTGCACCGGAAACGCAGATTTTATGATCCTAAAGACGGTGAAAACATAACATGTGTCGCCAAAGCTCACACCCTTCGTGCCGCACCGCGATCCGCGTTGGTTCTATATATATTTATATATATATACATATATATTCAAAGATTTCTTCGACTCGCCGCCACCGACGCCCCTTTCAAATGTGTATACCTATTCCTCGAGAGTGTGAGTGCGTGTAAATAGTATAGTTTTCACCGCCTTTACAATCAGAATAAAAACATTAAAGCGATATTCTTTCCGGCTGGTCTTGCCACCCCACCCATCACGGGACATAAATGTCCACATATTGTGTGCGAGACGATGGCTACACACAAATCCCGCGCAGCAGTTAAGGTGGATAAAAAAAAAACAAACACAAATACGTATACGTAGTAATACGACGTGTATATATAATATTATATATAGACCATATAATATCGAACAGTATAGAAATATCGAGAAAATAAATCGTAAAAAAAACGACTAGAAAAGGATAGTTTTATCGACGACGACCGTATATATAGCTGAGCGATCAGAGGATTTGACCGCCTGCCGCCGCCGCTGGACCGATGTGGTTTACGTACATAATGTTATTTATTTCTTGCTGCCGCAGAGGCTTACTCGAGGATTTCACCGATGGCCATCGTTTTTCGGACCGATAGTTTAACCCGGCGAAAAAGTCCGAA